TGTACTGTGTTCGTTCATAACAATATTCCATTCAGGTCCAAATTAGATCCTCGAGCATTTCGGTGTATGTTTATGGGTTATTCATCGACTCAAAAGGGCTTTCGGTATTATTATCCTCGTACAAAGAAATTCTTTATTACTATGGACGTTACTTTCTTTGAAAAAAACACATTTTTTCCTTAAAACTGCTATTCAGAGGGAGTCATATAATGAATATCAGTTTATTGACTCACAACAATTGTCACTTGATTTGCAGCCAGTTCTTTTTTATAAACCAGCACCGTCAAACCAGTTAAACCAGTCGAATAAGCCTACAAAATCGCTACAGTCAGACCAAACAACACTACCGAACCCAGAAAACGTATCCTTGCCAAACCAATCCACCAAAACACATTTTACCTCGGCATGATCAACATATCACTTCGCCTCAAATACCTCAATCCAAGTTGCAGATTTACAAGAGACGAAAAAAACCAATTTCTAAATCAATCCTTGAACCTAATCCCGAGTCTCACACACAGCATGGACACTGTCATGAACCGAAACCGAACGAGAATCCTTTGGAGAACGAAGAAGGTAATCAGAGTTCTTCCACTAAATTAAATGCTTTAATTGATGATAATGACTTGTCGATTGCTCAAAGGAAAGGAGTAAGAAAATGCACAAATTATCCAATTTAGAGATTTGTTGCATATGGAAAGCTAACGCCTTGTTTTAAGAACTTTACAGCAAGTGTAGATAGCACTAATGTTCCAGAAACGGTGGAAGAAGCATTGAAAGATCCCAAGTGGAAAAAGACAGTAGAAGAGGAATTAAAAGCAATGGAAAACAACAATACTTGGATTATAGTTGATCTTCCGAAAGATAAAAAACCAGTCGGCTGCAAATGGGTATTCACGGTAAAATACAAAGCTGATGGTAGCATTGAAAGATATAAGACGAGATTAGTGGCGAAATGATTCACTCAATCTTTTGGAGTTGATTATCATGAAATGTTTGCTCCGGTAGCAAAACTAAACACTGTGAGAGTGTTACTGTCATTAGAAGTTAATGAGAATTGGGTGCTTCATCAGTTAGACATCAAAAACGTATTTCTAAACGGAAACTTGGAGGAGGAAGTATATATGTGAATTCCACCGGGTGTGAAGAGTAATACAGGAAAAGCATGTAGATTACTAAAGTCCTTGTATGGACTTAAGCAATCTCCAAGAGCCTGGTTTGACAGATTTACAAAGGTGATTATTCAGGATGTTTACAAGCAATGTCAATCAGATCGCACTTTATTTGTCAAAACATCTTCAAACAATAAAAAGGCAATTTTGATTATCTATGTGGATGATATCATTCTAACAGGTGATGATTGTATGGAGATAAAAAGATTGAAAAAGCTACTGGCAAAGGAGTTCGAAACCAAAGACTTGGGAACTTTACGGTATTTTTTAGGCATGGAGGTTGCAAGGTCAAAAGAAGGAATAATGATCAATCAAAGGAAATATATCCTTAATCTACTATCAGAAACTGGAATGAAGGGATGTAAGCCGGTTGAAACACCCATGGAAGCAAATCTGAAGCTAACGAGAGAAGAATTGGGAAGTCTTGTGAACAAAGAACAGTATCAGAGGCTAGTAGGTAAACTAATTTATTTATCACTTACTAGACCTGATATTGCGTTCCCTGTTAGTACAGTGAGTCAATATATGAATAATCCAAGAGAAGAACATTTAGAGGCTGTGAATAGAATTCTAAGATACTTGAAAAAGACACCAGGACATGGATTAATTTTTAGAAAGAGTGATGATAGAATAGTAAGAATTTTTTCGGATTCAAGTTGGGCAGGTGAATTAACGGATAGAAGATCTACAACTGGTTTATTGTTCATTTGTTTGGGGAAATCTGGTTACTTGGAGAAGTAAAAAACAGGCGGTGGTGTCTCGAAGTAGTGCAGAAGCATAATTTAGAGCAATGACACTTGGAATTTGTGAAGGAATTTGGCTTCAAAGAATGTTAATTGAGCTGGGGTTATGTGCCAACAAATGGTTTGAACTTCAAAGTGACAGTAAATCTGCAATAAGTATTGCAAAGAATCCAGTTCATCATGACCGAACGAAGCATGTGGAGATTGACAGACATTTCATCTCTGAAAAGGTGAATGGTGGAACGGTGAAGCTCAATTATGTTTCAACGAAGAATCAATTAGTAGATATTCTCACCAAAGCACTTCCAAGAATTACCTTTGATGAGATTATATCCAAGTTGGGTCTTTTCAACATTTACTCCCCAAATTGAGGGGGAGTGTAGGTTATGCAATAGATAAGTTAGTATTTTAATATAACACTAACTCTTAGAAAGTTAGATAGATAAGGATAACTACTAAGTAGTTTACTTCTAATAGAAAACTTACTCCTAACTTTTCCTATAAAAAGATGTATTTTCACCATTCACAATATATAATAAAAAGAGTTCATTTTCTTCTCCACTGTGTTGTTTACTCTTTATCAACATCTTGTGGAGGAAATTAGTGGAACTTAGAATGTTAATATTGTGTAATAAGAATGTGTCGGCTTGAATAACAATCTCACGTTGGTATAAAATTGTGTAGAGACAGCAAGATGTTGTGATCCATTTCAAATACTGGATGGTGAGGCTCAAATTGTTCAGGTACTTCCTAGCTTTTTATCTGGATATTTTTAGTGCTTACTCTTGTAATGGCCATGGCTATGCCTACGATTGTAAACTCTTTTTTTTGTTGTTGCAACTTTTGGTTCTTTGATTTGCCAGATAATGTTGAAGCCACAAGAAAAGGTTATTGCAAAACCTGGTAGGTTGTTTTGCTCTCTATACTAGTTTTGTTATTGAATGTAGGAATTAGGGTCTTGAATCATGTTGCTGCTATGATGTATTACCAAGAATATGTTCAGTACATAGGATATACTATTGTACTATCAATGTAAACTATCTCTTCTTATTCCTTCGTAGTTTCATATCATTTAATCATCAAAATCTTATGAATTATATCATCTGCTGAAGAACATTAAGGAGGACTACTCAATTGATAACATGATTGGTTTGTTGCATTAGTTACTGTTTAATTTTTTTTATTTTATATCTCAAAATGTTTGATTCAATTCCCAAGTCACCTCCAATCAAGTTTCATACTGCAGGTGGAAGGTCGTTATCTGTTTCAAGTGGAGTATTGAAGCGTGCAAGGAGTCTTCTTGGTGACCCGAAGCTAGGGGATTTATTTGGTGAAATGGATGAAGAGAATTTATTTGGTGAAGTATTAAAGCGCGCAAGGAGTCTTCTTGGAAGGTATTTATCTATTTGATTCAATTCCCAAGCCATTGTTTATTCTAGTTAATGATGTTGAAGTACATTACATTTCACTTGAATATTTGTAAACTTTGATTTATTTATGTCAACTATTTTTAATTAATTCGAGTTGTATTTAAATTTTAAGATTGTTGTTATTGGATTTTGGTACATGATATTAAATTTGGGCAATAAATAATAGAAAATAACATTTGCAAATCAGGTTTCATTTGCCACATTTTAAAAAAAAAGCCACTAATGGACTATACAATTGTGACGTTTTCAGTTAAAAACGCCACTACATTACCTACATTTGTAGCGTTTGTTTCCAGAACGCCACTAAATGAACTGATCTTTTGTGACGTTTGTTCAAACAACGCCGCTAAATGACATAACCTTTTGCGGCGTTTGTTTCAAAAGGCCGCTAAATGACCTGACTTTTACGGCATTTATACGAAAAGTGCCGCTACATATCATGGTATATAGCGGCGTTTTATTTACAAACGTCGCTAAATGACCAACCTATGCGGCATTTGGAAAATAAACGCTGCTAAATGTCCTAATTGGTTCGCTACATATCATGGTATATAGCGGCGTTTTATTTACAAACGTCGCTAAATGACTAACCTATTGCGGCATTTGGGAAATAAACGCCGCTAAATGTCCTAATTTGTTGGGGCGTTTTTTATTTACAAATGCTGCTAACGTTTGCGGATCCCATTTTAGCGGCATTTCTTGCGACGCTTTTGTTTGCAGGTAAGCTTTTTTGCAACGCTTAAAAACGTCGTTATAGGACTTAAAAATGCGCTATAGAACAATTATGTTGTAATGTTTATGTGTATTTAAAATTTTAAATACTCGCGAGAAAGTTTGTTGTTCTTGTGATTCTATTATATTCGAAGAAATTATTTATGCCTTGATAGTTAACCGGATAAACGAAAACTTTTGTTAATCATACAAAAATATCATATTTTATAAAATAAAAAAAGTAAAATAATAAGAACAACAACGAGAAGAGATGTAAAAATAAGAAAAAGAATCTTGTTTATTTATCTCAATAGGAATTGTATATAATATTTTGTCTAAACTTTATATTTATAAATATAAGAAATATATATCATATAAAACTTAATCCTAATAAGTATTAAAATCTTAATAGTAAAACACATCAAAGTCTTATTTAATATATAATATTTTAATCAAAATAGATATACACATAACTAAGTATTCATAACAAAACTTTGATATGTTTATAATTTATTTTATTTAAATTTCTATCACATTCATATTATTTTCATGTCATACTATATTCATGTTATGTTTATGTTTTGTATAGTTTATTATACTAATTTTATCTTAAATATAAATTAAATGTTTTTTTCATAAAATATCAATTAATTACTATATTTAAAAATTCAATCTATTTTTTCAAAGGATCACGAAGATTAGAGTCTAATGGTAGTATACTACTACTTATTGTAACTCTAAAATACTCCATAATGAAGATAAGGGTATTAAGGTATGAAAACAACAAAAGAAACCCAAGAGATTTGGTATTTCCAAGTAATAAAGAAGGGGGCAATCGAGGAATAATGTAGTTTACGTTCCTCTTCTCATCATCTCTACATATTACAAAGACTTTGCCTTTGGATTTGGTCTTTTGCTTCGCGTTGATTATTTTTTCTTTCCCCTGTTTACGCCATCTGAAGCAGCCAACTCCACCACCCTAAAAAATGGGAGCTTTTCACTCAGAAACTAACACAAAACGCACACAAACATAAGTTGATGTAGGTGGTAGATGCATGACTCATGAGAGCCACCACCAACTTCTCATGATCACACTTTCCCCCCCCCCCTTTTTCTTTCTATCTTCGCTCCTTCAATCACCATCTTCCTTCCGTCCCTTAAAGCTACAAACTTTATATATACTTTTTTCACCAGATTTTATATCGTCAACCTGAAAAACCTAGCTTTTTCTCTATCCGTTTCTACGCTGACTACTCCACCACCTTATTTGTTTCATCTCCTTTTTCTCAGGTATCAAACAAACATATGACTTGTCTTTTTCTTTTTTGTTGTTGATGTTGTCGTTGTTTATCTTCTTTGTAATGGGCGGTTTTTGCGGTTCTAATCACGGGGTTATGCCCATTTTTTTCGCTTCGATGAGTTTGTGGGTTTCTTCTTTTCTCGTTGACGATTTTTGTGTATTTTGGGGTTTGGGTTTTTGTGTCATTGTTTTGTTCACTGCATCTGCTTCCATGATTGGTGGTAGGTTGGTGGGTTGACTTTTATGGGGGAAATTATTGGTATCTTTATTAGGCAAACTCATTGTTCAGCTTTGTGAGTTTCAAATTATTAAAGTTTTGGCTTTATTTTACTTTATGCAAATTCTGATGATTTTTTTTTTTTACATAAAAGCCTTTATGTTACCTTGTCCCCTTATCCGGAGCCTGGTGAACTGTTAGAAGTGAATACTATCCCCCCCCCCTCAATTGTGGGTTACTAAAAACGTTTCATGGGTTTTGCATTGGTCTGTTCATACTATCTCTAATTTCATTTATGAATGGTTTCTATTTCACCAGTACCAGCTTTGCTGTATTCTTTTAGAAGATCCAATCCGTACAAAGGATTAGGTTTTAGTGTACGTGCAGCATTATTGAACTGAGACGTCTTTAATAATGAGAGAGTGGTTGGTTTTCAGCCAACCGAATTTCTGCAAGAAACTTATCCAAAAACAAAAAAAAAGATTTCTGCAAGAAGTACTTGTGTTTTTGCATCTACTGGCATTGATATTTGATAACAAAAAGCTTATTAACATCCGGGGATTTCATAAGGCAATTCCATTTTCCTTGAATTTCTTTGCCCGAATTGCTTATTTGCATCATTATACTTGTGTTAACTCGTAGTTTTAATGGCTTTCACTGCAACTGATGATCTTTTACCCTTTTGGTCATTAATATGTGATATCTTGTTTGATTAGCTTATGAAATTATTTCCTTATCTCTGTAAGACGCTATTTTCATCTGCCATTCATTCATTTTGCGGTATATTCTTCTTTAATGTTTTTCATTTTCGAATTGTTTAATCTACATATACACGTCCATCATTTGTAATCCTACAAGCAGACACGGGTATATGCAAAGGAAGATCAATTAAACCGTTGTTTGCAGGGTTAAGCATTCCCCACATGGTGAGCTTACGCAGACGCAAGCTCCTGGGACTCTGCTCTGGTAAATTTTGGTTGAGATGTACTTTAAATTCCATAACTAAATTGCTTCTATTGATAGCCGTTAGTAGGGAAATTATCTATACATTTAAAACGTGCCCTCCAATTCTTTGCTTTTCTGCTTTCCAAGTTGGTTTGTTTGATCAAATTACGAGTTTCTTAGATGGAATGTAACTGAACAGGTTATAAGTTATGCCGAATAATTCCGTTCATGGTATTTGATGGCCTTTTTGCAGGGAGGAGTTCCTTTTTGACTCCACTTCCTAGAGTTTTTGATAACGTACATACACCTGAAAGTTCGAGTCAGAATGCAAAATCAGTTAGTGTGCATCCCTTGCCCTTAGATTTCATCAACCAAGTGAATGAGGTAAGAATGCTTGACAAATCAATTTACCTGAGATATTATTAAATGGTTTATTTCCCTCCTTCTAAATCTCTGCTAATCTTAAATCGGTCTTGTAATTTAGTTTTGTCCACAAAATATATTTACTGGTGTGTGAATCAGTTCATCCACCTTTGTCCCCAGAAAGGCGAGAAAAAGACCATTTGTTATTTCGGAACTCCTCCATTATAGTGGATCATCTTTACTTCCATATTTTAGGAAGGACTTGTAACATGCCTTTTAATTGATAATTGCCGATTGCATATTTTCTTCATCATTGTTTTGCTAACTGTATTTGCATGGTAGATGTTGATATAAACTGTGGATATAAATGTACCATTCGTATAGCCAACTATACTCTTGATTAAGAGTTGGTTTCACTTGTAAGGTAAAAAAGCTGTCTGCATTTCAGAATTTGTAGTGCCCTTTTCAGTTCTGGATTTTAGTTCAGATCCTTGGGCTGGTTATAGTTTATTTTTACTCACATCATCAATTGGAAGTTATTTATATGTATGTTGAATAATAATTGGCATTTAATTTTTTAATGATTAACAATTACATGTAACTTTTGCTGCTGTTCCTCAGAAAAGCATTGCTAAGGTTGACTATGCATCACCAAATGTTTCTGTTTCCGTTTCATCCAAAGAGCATCAGAATCAACCTTTTCCAGGTTTGCATCTTTGGAAACTTGCGTTCCATATGTTTGTTAACGATGATAAAGCTGGAAAATTTTTACTTGCTTATGGTTTTGCATTGATATTTCTTTCTTTGTTTGAAGTTTTACTTGTCTTAAAGATGATATCAATACGTTCCTGGCTTATCGAATTCCTTTTTCTTCGGATCTGAAAGAGTACATGCCTCCCATGAATTGTTTCATGCATCCAAGATTTGAGGCCAACATATATGTTTATTGTTGTGCAAAGGAAAAATAAAAGTTATTGCTCAATCGGTTCATCAATGTTTCGTAGTTTTGACATCATTTGTTCAAGCTTGTCACTGCTGTCTAGAGAATCAACATTGTAAGTTCTAAAGATGATTTGATCTGCAGATATTTTGGGACTGTTCTATCTTGAGAATCTTGTTTTTTGTTTTATCCCCTCCTGCTGCTACCGTAGCATGCTGCGTGCTATAAATGCCATGTTTGACATAAGCATGGAACCATAGCAATTTGAGAAAGTTAATGAGATGGTGCTTCCAGATAAAACATATCATTATGTTTTAGCACTGTAATCGGATGCTGGGAGCCATTTTAGTTTTTCTACATCTTGAGTGATGCCCTTGTACAATGTTATTATCTGTAGGTCAACCAATTAAACGGAGGAAGCGACACAGGAGGAAGCATCTTCAAAACCAAGAACCATGTCTAATGAGGGGTGTATACTTCAAAAATATGAAATGGCAGGCCGCGATTAAAGTTGACAAGAAACAGATTCACTTGGGAACAGTTGGTTCACAAGAAGAAGCCGCTCGTTTATATGACAGGTAATAAGCTGCCTTTTATCCTCCTTGTAGTAATTACTACTACAATTTTCAGGAACTCTCGATGGTTGCCACTATATGTAATACAAATGTTACTGTTTCGGTTTCGGATGAAGTTTGAATAGTCCAATATAACTGCCGAAAACCATCAGCCCTAATCTGATACAAACATGGACTTGATCCAAGTTCAAGTCATGTTCTACAATAAGTACACAAAGCTGGATCCTATCCTTTTTGTATCTGCTAAAGGGCCATTTTTTTGGTAATGTAACTTGGTTGTTACTTTGATGGATGGGCCAATGGATTTCGAAACTCATTGGTAGGTATTTTTATCTGTGTAGAGCTGCATTCATGTGTGGAAGGGAGCCGAACTTTGAGCTTCCCGAGGACGAAAAGCAAGAGCTTAGGAAGTTCAAGTGGGACGAGTTTTTGGCATACACTCGCCGTTCGATCACCAACAAAAGTAACCCTTTCCTCTATGGATTCTAACCTTATTAACCGAACTGTTAGCTTTTAAATACTAAATAGTTTTATTTTCAACAACGATTACAGAACACAAACGGAGGCTCGAGGTCGAAGCACAGAAGTGGTCCAAGTCTGCAATAGAGAATGGTGAGTGGGACACCAAACGAGGAATCAACAATAGCTTCTCGGCTTCAGAAGAGATGGGACCGGACTCTTCAGCCGAATAATCTGGTTCGAGCAATTAAATTCTAGTTGCAGGGTCTACATTTTTAGGTGTAAAATTCCCTTCTATTAGAGCCAAGTAATATTATTTTGATACTGGTAAAGTGGTAATTAGATATCTACAAGTTTTAACACAAATAATAAGTGTTAAATATTAGTTGAATCGTGATTCGCCATTGTTGTTGGACAGACGAAAGGCATTGCAAATGCAAAGCTATATAAAAAGCCTTATTTTGGTTTTAGCCCGAAGCTGATCCCCGAATTTGTTTGGAGGTCAATGCACTGCAGGATTGCAGAACGATTGATTTTAGCATTAATCCTTATTTTGCACGTCTATGGTTTAATCTGCCATTAATGGGGGGAGGCATGGACCGATTACTGATGAGCTTGACACCAAAGTGAGGCCAAAAAGCCGACAACAAAACATAGATGCTTACACTTGCTGTCTTCATTATCTGCCTAAACTGCAACTAATTTGTTTTGAAACAGTGCATGGACAATATGAATATAAACAAAAACCCACCAAAAATTTTGTGAACCAAATATCCGAGGATTGGGTCGACGTCTACTAGTAATTAAATTGGTGAAATATGAAACAGATCCTCCATTTTTTTTTTCTTCCTTACAATAATCATTGTATGATCTAAAAAATCCTTTAACCATTAATCGTTTCCCTTGTTTTCATTTGAGCATATAAATTTTCTCTTTTTAACTAAAGTCATCATATTATCTATTTATAATATTTTAGTCCTTAAATCATTCTAGTCCGATTTTCAGATTGTTACAGTAGAAAACATGCACCATATTTTTCGTCTTTTAGAACTGTATTGTTCACACTTCGAGATTATACTAACATACCTATTAAAGAGTCCATACTATTACAATGATCATACATTTAATAAAATTATACGATGAATTATGATGAAAATATATAAAAATGTATGTTTGTTTACTTCAAAATATTTTTATATATATATTATGATTATGTGTTGCTATTGGTACCATTAAATTTAAGACTTGTAATATTTCTGTTTGCACAATTTATTATTGAAAGTAAATTTATTTTGAAACTACATTAGGCCTCGAAAAGTGGGGTAGACATATTATGAATTTTCTCTCTCGATACTAATAGCATGTGTATTAAATATTTTGTCAATGTCTTTTTTATTATGAATGTGTCAAGTAAATGATTTTTTTAAGTAAGCGCTATAAGGGTTATTTCCATGATTGATTATTTATGTTTGTGTTTTGTCCATTTTTCCTTATTGATTTTAAAAACATAATATATGATCACTTTATTTTTTATTTAATTAAAATGTCACCACTAGTTCACTGTTATTGAATATTTTGGTATAATCACACATTTGGTCCTTTTTATTTATATAGCCTCTCAATTTAGTCATACTTTTAATAAATTAAAATAAATTTAATCCTCCTATGGAATGATGCCACATGTCATGCCACGTGTTGGAGGACTAACTTTATTTTAATTTAATAATTTAAAGTAATAACGTAACATATTTAGTAAATTAAGACAATAATAAGATATATTTTTAAAAGTTTAGACAATAATAAAATATATATTTTTAAATTAAATTAGTAATAAAATATATTTAATAATTTAATATAAAAAATATTTTTAAAGTTAATATGTATAAAATATTATGAATTTAAGTTAATATTTATACACTAAGATATAAAATATATACATCATGCATCGGTCTAGGCTCAATGGTTTGGTACATTATCCAAGTATTTTAGATTAATCATTGGTATTGGCCCAATGGTTTGGTACATGCTTGGTTATCCAAGAGACCCAAGTTTGACTTCATTTAGCCACAATTTCCTTGAATTGTTTTCTTTCAACAAAACAAAGGTGACACCCTCTAATCGGTGGAAAATAAATTAAAATAAAGTTACTCTCCAATCGAATAGTGACATGGTGGCATCATTCGATTAGAGAAATCTACTTTGATTTATTAAAAGTAGAATTAAATTGAGAGAAAATTAAATAAAAGGAAATAAATGTGTGATTATACCAAAATACCACCTTAATTAAATAAAAATGAAAGTGACAATATATTATGTTTTTTAAAAATCAATAAGGAAAAATGAACAAAGTGATCAATCATATAGTTAACCCAATTTTCAATCTTAAATAAATATTACATGCTGGAGAATGGTGCCAATTGGATGGGAATTAATGGTTTCAAAATATTGAAATAGTTTGGAAAGTTTTCAAGTGTCATTTTATTATTTCACAAGCAAGGGTTTCAAAATCGAAGAAGAAAGTATCGAAACCTAATTCTAGTATCTATTTTGGATATCGATATTAGAGGTGGTCTTGATACATACCCATAAAACTTTGAAGGGCAAACTACCTTTTCGTTTGAGTTTTATAAAATTTCTCACTGAATTCAAAAAAATATAACATTTGGTTACTTTTGTTTCGTTTTAATTAGATGTGGCCACTGAAGGTTAACAGTCGTTAAACCTTTAATGGTTTACTGACGTGACACAATAAATTTATAAAATTAAAATTACATTACTTCTACGCAGATAATACATGTATTAAGTTTTGATCACTTTCATTTAATATTTATACACATTTTTGCTTACTAAATTTAAAAAACATAAGTTTTGGTCACTCACATTATTGTTTTTATTAAATTTTGATCGCTTACATTATTGTTTTATTAAGTTTTAGTCACTTACGTTATCGTTTTATTAAGCTTTAGTCACTTCACTTGGATATTGAATGTCATTAGTTTAATGATGTGTCCTGTTAGTAAAATGATTTAATTTTCATTTTAACCGTTACATTTTAGACAAAATACTGATTATGAGTCTTTTGTATGTTCAAATCAGTTTAGGGACAACATTTGAATTTATCCATTTTTAATAGGTTTTCTTCCCAAACACATTGTTGTTCATACATCTCTGCTCCATTGCTCCATTTGCCTTCTTTCAAGGACTCATGTTGCATTTTAAGAATAATTCAAGATTTCCAACTTCCGATAACAAATAATATCAAAACTTTAGAGAAAAATGAGAGGGTATGCATCTAAAGATAAAATGACGTTGAGTAATTTCAGTTATGTAAAATAAATTCAATTTTCAAAGATTGAGATTGTAGAATGTCAAATCCAACAAGAAACAAGAAGACAAATCAATAGATCCAAATAACTCGATAACCGAATATCACCCTCCGTGGTGATTTTTCTTTGAGAAAACGCCTCCGATAAAACATAATCAATGGATCCAAACAACCCGATAAATGGATATATGAATTCATCCACTGAACTCAATCTAAAATCCATGATTTTAACGTCGATTTTTTTGTTTTTGCTCAAGAACAAGCAATTTTCCGATTCTAGTTCCCTATTAACAATGTTCGCCTTATGAATCATTGTTAACCCCTGAGCCCTACGAAATCTGTCGCACCACCGCCACCTTGTTGGCCTCGGAGTACCTTATTTCGTGACGACTATATTGAACAACTCATCGTCGGAGCAGAGCTCCAATACTAAGTGAACGTCAATTTGATCTTCATAAACATCATAAAGGTCGATCATGTTCGGATGCGACGAAACATTCTCGACTATCTTTCACATCACGGGAATTTGTTAGTTAACGCGTCGAAGATGAAAACATGATATTGTGTCGTCAATAACACCGCCATTTAAGAAGCTCTAATTTTCTTGACTCGAATCAATGTCGTCTTCGTGGTGATGGATCTTTTTAGAGTTTTAATGACAAATTCTTTGTATTTTTCACGATCTTCATTACTTCTTTTCAGACTTTTTTTCTAATTTAACTTCAAATAATTATAACAATAACGCAAGTGACCAAAACTTAATAAAACAATATTGTAAGTTACCAAATCTTATATTTTTTTGAATTTGGTGAGCAAAAATATACAAATCTGAAAGAAAAATGATCAAAATTTAATCCGCATATTACCTACATAGAAATGATATAATTTTAATTTTATATATTTACCGAGTCACATCAATAAACCGTTAAAGATTCAACGATCATTAACCTTCAATAACCCTATCTTAATCAAAATGAAATGAAAGTAACTAAATATCATTTTGTTTGAATTTAATGAGAAAAATTTTATAAAACTCGTGACCAATTCTTTAGTTTACCCAATTTTGAAATTCTAAGAAGGTTTCGATACCGATCTTTTAAAACTTATAAGAGAGTTTTGGAAACCTCTTCTCTATCCTCTATAAAATACCTTAAAACTTGTTTTTAAGTTGTAAAAATAATGTTCAAGTCCTTTAATATTTATTTTACACTCAAGCTGATCCCTAGTATATTGTAAAATTATACTCTCAAAAAGTTGATTTTAATTTCATTACCGAAATGCTTTACCGAACTCTAGAACCAAACAAGGAGCGTTACCAAAAAAAAAGGCAAGATTTTCAGTGCACATCATCATCTTGTCCAAACAAACCTAATTATATGAAACAATAAAAAGAATCATAATGCCTTAATTTCAATGACCACGACTTAATGTCCGAAAGGGCACCCTCATCCTTTTAGAGACAAGAACTTAAGTGTTCTTTATTACACGAGCAATTGTTATCACATTTCTCTATTTCAAAATGTTAAAATATATTCAGCAATACATCAAAGAGCTTAACTAAAAGAATCGCTGCAAAAACTAAAATGTAGAGAAACAAAATATACAAAATTGGATACTATTTCCAATCTTATTAAATTTGAAATACTTCCCATTGATGCATAAAATTATATAATAAAAACTCAAATATAAAAAATTCGACATTGATCCGAAATAGCATACAATGACTTGTTTCACTCTTTTCAGTGTGTGTAAATCATTATATATAGTCATTAAACTAATCTATAATGAAGTTTGAGCTATTGAATAAAGACGACTGTCCACTAAAACATAGTTTTGAAACTACCAAGTCAGAAATTCCAAAATTAGCTCCACTGAAACAACCACCGGATGAATAGACTCTTTTATCTTTTTTCTAAGGGCAGTTTGTATTATCCCTGAAATAAAATGTTATAATCAATCAGAGCACACTCTCTTATATTTTCTAGGGGCATATATATGCAAATCTTCCACTGATTGTTCACAGTAGAAATATAATTCAGTTCCAGGCCTTATGGATAGTTAACCTCCTAAAACAAAGGGAGACAAAAAGATAATAGACTAAAAAACTTACATTACTAGTTAGGCATGGAGTTCTCGTTCAAGCGACCGATGGAAGGAAGACCCTAATTAGTCCTCTCACGGTGACTCTTTTCCTGCAAGTCGGGCATTTCGCCTGAACAGCTAGTGCAGCTTTAATGCATGCCTTGCAGAATATATGCCCACATCTTGTTGACGTCTCCTCCGTTAACGGCCCCATGCAAATTGGACAGTTGAAGGTTGGTGCCTTTGGTGGTGGCTGTGACACTATAATTTCCTCCACCTGCCAATATAACATTCAACAAGTCTAAAGCGTTCGTAAATCTAATAAAAAAACAGAAATGCAACAGGCGTGCGTGGACGAAAACAAGGAGGGATGTCTAGTCACGATATCTATAGACCTGATAACCAACCTGTATATGTTTCCTTGAAAGTATACGACATTACACATTTTGAACAAAACACTAAGAGGAAGAGTTCTTACAACTGATTGTGTAGAGCTTTCCCAATCGATAAAATTTGGACTCGTAGGAAGTCTTCGGAGCCTATTCGGATTATTATGAGTAGGACACATGTGAGCTACACCTACTAAAACAAAGAGCAACATAGGGGTTTAACTACGAAGAATAAATTGAGTAGATAAAGAACCACCACTCCATAAATCGATTGGCCGATGCATTCACACAAGTAAAACATTAGATTTTATCGGGCTACTACAAAGTTGAAAAGAGATAATATCAACCTTAGTAAATCACCCTCACATGCCACAAACCCCAAAAATAAAGGTAAACAGCTAATGTTAAAAACCAAAGAATTGTATTTTATTAACAAAAATCTCTTGGTGTTATTAAGCACAGACCCTACAAGAGCATGGTCGGCATACGGCAAAAGAAGTGAATAGACGTTCTTAGAAAATAAAGACATAGTACTTCCTGTTTTATTTCCATTTTAGTGTGATCCTCTTGTGTTACATATAGAAGCATTTGATTCATCAGCATAATTTAATCACTTCAAGGCACATAATATCACCTAGATTTTCACTTGGATTATATCATGTTTGGTTAAGTGGATTGTGATCGACGTGCATTGACTTTGTCTTATTTCAAATATGAAAAAGTAAAATGACATTCCTTATATTCAACAATTTAAGGAGTAGGCTATTTGTTCCAGGGACTCTAAACCTCAAACTAACTAAGCACCTAAATCAAGACCGGGTTTGAAACCCACAGGACATCTACCTTAAAATTCATTCATTAATGGGGCTTCGAAACTGTTATTAAGAAGGAATCTTTTGACTCATGAAGATAAATAGAATGAATTTACAAGGCAGTGCATCAAATAAGCTTCTTCTATGCAATGTGCATATGATAATACAGGTATCACGTGAGGCCAAACAAAAATATTATAAACAGTATTTTCCCTAAATTCACCAACCTGAATCTACATCAACAACAGTCCTTCCACGGTTCCTCCTTGAATTGTTCCGAGTCTGATATAATATACCAATAAGTTTATAATAATCAGCATGATACGAATGATCATGGAAATTTTAAGTGAAAAACAAAGCAAAATGGAACAAGAGAAAATACCTCTGCAAAAGATGTAGCCGAAGATTCAATTGCATCATCATCAATAGCATCAACATCAATAGTTGCAGGCGGTCCAAGCTGCATGGATTGGATAGTTTGTTCCTCATACCCAGCCTGTTGCGAAGTACCCTCCAGTTCTCTGATTTCACTGGGTGGAACATTCAGATCAAGCACTGCCTTTCTCCTTCGATACCCTCTAAGAGAAGACCCCCTCACTTCAAGAGTGCTCATGTTCAGATTATGATTTTTCAAAGCGATATCCGAAGATTGCAGCCTCAATAAAACCTTAAAGATGTTAAAATACAACTCCCTCAGGTACATTCACAATAGATACTGTATCATGTTCTCTCTAAAAGCAACAATTCCTTTACTTGATGTCAGTGTTAATGAAGTTTACAAAAAAAGAGTTCAATCTGAAATCAAACAAACCTAGTGATTTAGAGCTTAAAACAGGAAAGAACATCCAGAGACACAAAAATAAGATTTTTTTTTCACAACCTTCGCTTCCTAGAAAGTCCAAGTAGCAACAAGGATGTCATCACCATATTACTAGAAAGATTAAAAAAGAAAAAAAAAATCGACAAGCAAAAGAAACCCAAATTTTAACAACGGAAAATCGATTAGACACCAAAACATCAAATCATTTTTTTTTTTGAAAAAGAACAAAAAGGGAAGATTGGTAAGTCAGATGAGAATGGGAGACCGAATGTCATACCTTGATACAGTGGGAGAATCGAATCGAGAGCATTCTGGTGAAATTATCACGTCTAGGGTTTTTAAAACCGGGGGGAGGGATTTTTCAACAGTATTATGAAGGTCGCGCGGTCGGGGTGCGCTTGAAGAGTGTCCACGTGGCGTGACCCCACTTTGTATTTCTTACGTATTCGCTTACAAATGCATCCAGCGCCCACAAGTCTTTAATTAGTCAACTTTTTAGCGCCCCGGTTGCATTAATGGGTGATATTAAATGATTACCATATTGAGATTAATTACCATAATAGGTAGATTAATTACCATGGTAGGAAGATTAAGTGTTAGATTAAAAATAGTATAAAATATTAATTAATTTATTAACAAATATACAACATTGTATTTTATTTACTATTTTATAATGGATACAGCTATTCATTATTTATTTTGATTTAAATATATTATTTTTTGTGCTATAAATATTTCAGCGTATACTTATTTTAATACATTTGAATTTATAATAATTAATAATTAATCAATAATTTATAGTAAAAGATAGAGGCTAACATTCGATCAAGTCGAGTTGAGTCAAAGTATTTTGAGTTATTCGAGTGACGAGACTTATTTTATAACTCAAACTTTATTTTAAAAATTTTTGAGTCGGGTTTATGAAATTCAATTAGAGTTGTTCGAGTTTTTGTTTAAATTTAATTATAAATATTTATAATATTATGATATTATTTGATTCTAACTTAAACAATTCTCTATAGCCATATATAATATACATTATATATATATATATCATATACGATATACATATATCGTAGAGTTGGTGAACTTGACTCAAATTAAAAACATATTCCTAATTGTTAAAATTCTGAGTTATCTGAATTCTATTTCATAACTCAATTTGAATTTTTTTTAATACAATTTATAAAATTTTGAGTCGAATATTGAATTGAGTTTTTCAACATCAAATCAAGTTGAAAATTTTGACTTTTTTATTTTATTTTTTTGTAAATCGAGTTTTGCTCAAACTAGCAGTAGGCCATTCGGAATTGATTGGAAGCACAAAACCTATCTGAGTGTACAAATGATTGGAGCAGTGCAGTAAGTCCATATAGCATGTCGGCAGCTGAAGTGTAAACCTGAAGACGCATGGAACTTTCGTAGTGAAAAAACATCAACTCCATATTTAGACAAAATTTGTTGGAACTGATGTTTCTTCTTCCGTTGGCAATCCCCCATCCGTGCAAGAAGAAGCTTAAGCTTTTTTCATACCATTACACTCCATGTTTAAAAAAAAAAAAAACTGGGGATTCTAAGAGAATGCTCAGAAAGAAAATACTGTTTTCTTCATTATCCCATAATTTCAGTAGATTGAATTTGATCCATACTAAGTTTAATTGGCAAAATTGAGATGGTTCCACATATAAGAGGGTGAAAAAACAAGATAACAAATTAGTGCTATAACAAAAATACAGAAGAACAATCGAAAAAGAGAAACAAACTAAGAATATATCTGAAACATGTTTGGAAGCACACAAATAGAGCAGTTAATTCACTCTGCTCCATTGGAAGGAGCCTTCAATGTATTTACGGTAATAATATCCCACACAAACTCGTTACAAATCCACAAGCTTTTCACATCCCTCATTTTCTGCACCATGGAAGGCAGCAACTCTGGAGAAAACAACACACGTTCGCGATTACGGATTATGTAAAAATAACCATCCATAGCATAGCAAAGCAACATACATACCTTAGCGCCACCGCTGTTGGATGGCCTCCGATTCCGAGCGTTGTTGTATGGGGATTGATCACCCCCCATGCCTCCTACCCTACCCCGTTGTTCCTTTCTTCCCGCACCTTGTTAAAAATGTGAGTATAACCATCCGCTGATGCCGGGTTACTCTCATCCCAGTCACCGAATTTCGGAACAGCAGCACTTTTATCGGGCTGTGACACCGGAAACCAGATTATTAGCAACAAGTTTGTCTCAAGAGGAGCCGATGTGTGTGTAAAAGTTTCACACAACCGAATAATGCAATATCGTTATCAAGTGTTGCAAACACATTCAAGCTCACCGGAAGGTCAGCGATGCATTCTTTTCGAGGTTCATGTCATGTATGGTGATAAAATGAAAAGAAGAAGAATGGCTTACACTTTCATCGCCTCTAGCACTTGGCCTCAGTCTGGATCTCCCAGGAGTACCGTGGCTACTATCGTACGAAGTTTTTCCTTCCCAGGCAGGCGATGGCATGCTACCTCTCCCCGTCACTCGTGCCTGGTGATGCAGAGGTGATTTCTCAAGGCTGTTTTCGGATCCAATGCTTGATCTCGCAGGGCGTTTTGTTACTTCACCGGAACTTACTCCACGACCATAACGTGAAGGTGTAGTGTCCCCTGAAGCTCTGCGGTTGACATTGTCGTGTCGTGTTGGAGAATCAGCATATTGCTTGGGGTAACCTTCTTCCCCGCTTCTTTGACGTTCATGTCCCCTTCGAGCAGGTCCTTGTCCTACCGATTCATCCACTTCCGGATTCGTTCTTGAAGCAGGATTAGACCTAGCAGGAGCTACAAAATCTTGATGCAAATCCAGGTTCTCTTGAGGATCATTCGGGTTTACAATCTTTCCTCCGCTGCGACCTTGACGGGCCTTGTCGAAATAAATTGTGTAGGGAACATTCTCTTCACCCTCCCAATTGCCAAACTTGGGCACATGGGAGCGCTGTTGCTGTTGCCGTTGCTACAATGACAACAAATTAGATGATACACAAACAAAAACTCTCCTCCATCAATAACAGAGACAAAGATTAGCAGATCTTACATACATGGAGCTAACCGAAAAATGGCTCAAAACAGGAAAACCAGTAGATTTTCCACAAGGGAATCACACACGCAATGAATTTGTGAAGATTAAACACATACATGTTTTATCGATTTTGGAACATACATGTTTTAAGTTCACCCAGAATTATATCCAGCTAATACACATTCTGACTAAAGTTCAACAAGTATACAAAACTCAAATCCCACAATTCTCATATTTCATTACTTATGTCAAAAATTCTCAGGAAACAAACAGAAGAACAATGAAAACTACACCAAACCCACCCAAAAAGAAAATACTGAAGATAAAAGAACTTACTGCCATTTCTTTCTTCAGAAAAGTTGAGAAAGAACACCCAGATCCTCAAAAGAAAAAATCAGCTTTCTTATAACCAGAAAATTTTTAGAAGAACTCTTCAACCGAAATGAGAAGAATTTTAGACAGAGAAAGAGTATTTAAAGGAAAATAAAGGAAGGAGGAGAGAACGAGGGAGAGGATTATCAACCTTTGACCGGCACCACCGGTAACGTTTGACCATTCTCTCCTTTCTCACTCTGTAAAAACCTCTGTTTCTTCACATTTTCAGACGTCCCTCTCAAAACCCAAGCTTGGGTTTTTTTTTTCCTTCTAATCAAATTTCGTAGCAGTTAATTATCCACTCCATCATTCAAAGCTGTGTTTTTGGTGACTGGAATGAATTAATTTGGCGGTGACAATCGCAGCCTTAGAAGGATGTGCTGGATAAACTGTTAAGGCTTGAGAGTCTTAAATTTAACGCCGTTACTGTTAATGGCGGCTGACCTTTTATCAAAGCTGAGACTTTGTCTTCCTCCGCGGTTAACTCTTGGTTTTCTTTTTATTTTATTTTTCTTTGTCGGCTTCTGTTCGGACATTTCAAATATCCTTCCTTTCACAAACCATTTTTAAAAATTAATATTTATTTAAGCAATTTATTAATTATTATATGCACTTCCGAAAAATTAAATTAATTTTTGAAAATACGATGCTAAATATAATACTTTAGTTTCTTTATAAATAGTTTAATGATATAATCAAATCTGTTTAAGTAATTTAAAAAGAAAAAATAAAATACATGTTGTCAACTTCTAAGTATTCTTTTTGTTAACATTTTTTAGAAAAAGGTTTGATTTGTAAGAGTATATTTGTATATTACGAACGTGTTGGCTCTCGGAGAGATTCTATTATTAAAATAAGTCGTCTTTGTTGCTTTGATGGTTCACTAATAATCAATTTTAAATAAAATTGCAACTATGCAATATTTAAGACAAAATATTAAACCTACAAGTGGATTAACAACTAATGCTTATGCTTGAAACCTAATCTACTAATTTTCTTGCTATTATAACTACAAGCTTTTAATTGTAAAGTTAGTAAGAATTTAATTGTTAGTTTTTTTAATGTATAAGAAAAAAAGTGATCTTTAAACATTCATAACAACATGAGTATCTTCATAGTGTCACGGGTCGTGATCCTTGAGTCCGATACATTAATATTTGAAGGTTTTGAGAGCGTGACAAAAATATCTATCTCAAACCTTTATTGGTGATTCCAGAAACAAATGTAAACCGAGAAAAATACCCTAAGCCATGCGAGCTAAACCATCGGTCATCAAATTGCATTCATGTGGGACATATTGAACCGTAAGAACATAAACACAGATATGTATAAATTCCTCATAATTCTACATCAAGCATCGAGCAGTACCCAATTTGCTTTCGAAAAATCCAAAATCAAATCACCTTAGTGATCCCGAATATTACCCCACAGGTAGCCAAACCTGCTACTCTTTGTCGAGCATCATCGGTGTTTAGCTTTACCCATCCATCCAGAGGAACTGTCCATCGAGCATCCCCGTTGACTTAATCCTACGAGCAGCCCTCCAAGAATTCCTTCTGCCTAAGGCAATAGCCACCTCATGTTTGAGGCGTAAACTTTGTTGTAATATGCTTTCACCTGCTACAAAGTCCTGCTAAAAATCATTTTATTTCGTCAAGAGTATTGTAACATCCTAAACCCTTAAAGTGTGATATTGAGCTACCAAGGCAATGCCTGATTTCAAAAACTGTTCATTGTCGTTTTAAAACATACTGAATAGTATCAAATTAGACATACAAGACAGTTATAAAAATTTTTATAAATTGGAACTCGTATAATACCCCAAATTTTGGCTAGTGACTAAATGTAAGTTTTGAAAGCTTGGTATATAAAGTACAAAATGTAAGCATGTTAGTCACTAAATTTTCACTGTT